TATGCGGTGGTGAGCTCGGAATTTATGAGACCTGCCGTAGTACCGCTGTCGTTGGAATTTTTCATCGGCGGTGAATCGCTCGGAACGCCTCGTGAGTTCGATGGCATCTACCGGGTTTTTTCCTATAATTAATGCTCAGCTAGCCGTTTTCACGTCGTCGTTGTGTACCATTTCTCTGACTAACTCTTTTTTATTCCCTTTATTGCTCATGTGAAATCCTAAGTAATCTCACTTGTGAGCTGCAAAAAAGGCCCAGAAATTCGATCAACATCTTGTCGAAAAGCCACCCATAGAATTGAGTCATCAGCCTGAGGCGTTCATAAATTTGTCAAATCTTCTTTCGAGGCCAAAAGGTTTTCTAGGCGTCTCCGTGGTACCCTCAGAGTTCACTGTGTATGCTATATGCCCTCAGTTTTCAAGAACGATGTTTATGGCCATATTAGGGTCTAAAAGGTGGCAAATTTCAATCCTGCTGATCTCCTATACTTGGGCCAACGCCCGCACCACGACAGCTGTGATTAGATCATTCGAAAGGGGACACTGACAGGGCGGCACGAAACCAAGCGGCATAAGCGACATAAGGCGGCTGGTGAGCGCCAGAAGGCGGCCGATCATGAACATCACAAGGGCTTGAAAAGGACGACATCTTTAAATTCGACCGATACCCAACGGTATCCAGCGAAGGCACACGTTGGGTGCTGACGTCAGGCGACCGAAGGACACCGTGTGTCACTCTATAGAGGAGTAAAGGGCACAGTAAACGGATTTCCAGTTACTGTAGTTGGGTACAATGTGACAATTGGCGAGTGGGAATAATCGTGAACATAGCGCACGCCATCGGGCGACATTGGGTGCACTGGGCGACAATAGGTGAGAGTAGGCGACAGTAGGCGACAGTAGGCGACACAGGCGACACAGGCGACTGCTCACACCTATTGTCGCCCAGTGTCACCCAGTGTCGGCGGAAAAGTCGGGACGAAGAAGGAATTTTTCTGGTGATGAGAATGAATGCTACTTAATCTCGTGCATAAGCCATGAATTCACTATTTGAAATTGAAATGGAACGAATTTTGGCGCTCTTTTCCCAGAAATAGGTTATTTTGTAGTAGACCACTCAGTATTAAAACAAAAAGATATTGGGGTGCAACTGCACTATCAAAAGTTTCCTAACCAATCAGTTTTATCAGATTTCTCAATAATTGCTCATTTCCAGCAAAAAGTGGGAGGTAGTTGTGGTGTAATAATTGGCGCTGGTTAACACTGTAATATTCGTGCTGTCTAACCTGGCGGCAAGCATTTTTTTTGACATAAACGCCCCAGCCAGAAGAACATGTCATTCTGAAAAAAATCGAAGGGATGCCGTAGAAACGATCATTTCGTCTTTTAAGGACCTCTTGGCAGTATGGGGCTTACCGTAACCAGCACCAACTATTACACCACAACTATCTCCCACTTTTTGCTGGAAATGAGCAATTATTGAGAAATCTGATAAAACTGATTGGTTAGGAAACTTTAGATAGTGCAGGTGCACCCCTATATCTTTTGTTTTGATACTGAAATGCAAAAACTCCAAAAATGTTCTTCGTGGTGCTGTTCCAGTTATGGAAACAGCACTAAAGTCGTACTTGTCATTTATTATTTACGGCTATAGTTAACTTGACCTTCACCTGACCTTCGTGCGAACTGTCATGGACGAGCAAGCTCCAGTACCGTTGCTGATGACGTACCCCGTGGGTGTGTGTCTCCCAAACTTGTCTGACCGGCTTCTCCGGGTATATGTAGCGGTGGTTGGTCACGCTTGTGTTGAACGGAGCGTTTTTCGAAAACAGACCCAGGCTAACCTTTTGGACTCTTCCCGGATCCTCGTTTCAGCACTGGTGGGATATGCACGTGTGCAGTACAAAGAACGCACTCGTTCTTTCAGTAGTCTATTGGTATAGTGTTGTGTTGATCATTACAGCACGGTAGTCATGATTGTCCACGCCGACGACGGGGAAGCGGTCGGTGGGAGGGAAGACAGAGAGGGCGCGGTTTCTTCTGTATGGGGTATATAAAGCGATGGTGACACACTGGCAGCCGGTGAGCATCCGTGCGGCAATCCACACAGGACCCTGCACTCCCTGCACCCCCGGTTTACCTTACCGTTCCCGAGACATGATCTATGTTTCCCGAACAAAACCTGAACTCTTTCTCCTTATCGAAAAACTTGTTCCGATCGTAATGACGAACCGATGATGATGATTGCCTGCCTGTGCTGGCCTAGAATCCGCTTCTGTCGGTGTATGATTGATCGTGTGGTGTGACTGTATGTGGTTGTATATATGGTCTTTAGAATCACCCCACACACATTCTTCTCTGTACAAAGTATTTGTCTTACCGTAAACCGCTTCTGTATCTACCGTAATCCTAGCGGTTCCCTCGAGCTTTTTCAACGCGATACTCTAAATTCAATTAAGCCTTTTTCTTTCAGTTTGCTATGGATCTACAAACATTTCTGCAAATTCTCTCGTGTTCTGCTATTTTAACAACAGTTTGCCTGTTCCTCTGTGGAATGTAAGTTTTCTGCATCAAATTCAGTTTAAAATGCATCGTTTCCGAGCGAAGATGCCTAATTAATTTTTTCGACATCTTTATCAGTACTGAATAAGGTAGCTCCTCTGCAGAAATGAGAGTAGGACAGACTGCTCGCTTTGGGCGGGAGCTCCACGTCACCTTGAGCTGCAAATCAGAGCTTTTTCTAAGTTGCGGAGCTTAAAGATTTCCTCCGCTTTTAAGGATATTTCCTGATTTTGAACCGTAGCTTGCGAAAAGTTCGTGGCGGTTTCTTTCGAAAACTTTAGGTTGAAAAAAAGGTTTTCCGTTTCTGTATCTGATTATTGTGATATTTTAACCCTCAAACACCATGGGACATTGCGAAAGTGTGCTGATAAATAGTTGATAACCGGATTTTTTGGAAAACTCTACTGATAAGGTGACCCTGAAAGAACTGATAACAAAGTTGACAACAGTATCTCGAAAGATTTATCGTTCAAATTTGCAAACTGTAAAAATCTAAATCTAACTAGCCAGAAAAGGAGCTCAGCTGATGATCAGCTGATTGTCAGCTGATTGTCATTTTCTCTTCAAGAGAAAATTTTCAAGGGGAAAGGAGCCTACTATGACCAAAAAATTGAAGGGTTTTCATCTATATGGCCATTATATTGATTAAATTCATTTGTACTTAATTATAGCTCAGTTAACTCTTGAGAGTGAAGCACCCGCTTCTTCTATTATTAGATTTACCTTAAAATATTTCGTCAGAAAAACGGTTATTACGAAACCCGTCCATTTTTAGCCCAATCTGCATTGAAATCATACGGCGGAAAGGTACGCAAGACATCAGCGGCATTCCGTTCCTTATGGGATTCATAGGGTAAGTCCTTTTGGTTACTCAGCCAAGTACTCGGGTGATTTCTAGCGATACCTAAGTACAGCATATTTTCAGAGGTTCTTTCTGGTTACGATACGGATTTCTGAAAGATGATAGCGTAATGATCATTGTGAACGTTATCGGCACTCACTTTTCTTCATGTACTGCGTATTCTACTTGACATTCGCGACAAATAGGGTTAGTTTCATCAATAGTTACTGTCACTTTAGGTTCGAAAGTTACAATCTCACGATGGGGGTGCAACTGTCGAGTCACTCCGCTCACGCGATTACCGTGCCATCGCCTTGGGACACGAAAATTACCAGAAATAGTAAAACTAGGGCAGAAAGATTTTGTGTGTTTACAACGATTTTGCATTACTTTCTCCTATGCGCATCAAAAAAGCCTCACCTAATGCTCATTATCGAAGAGGGATCCACTTCATTCGGGGTTTTCCCAATAGGGAGAAAAGGCATGACTAAAAAAAAAACCCAGAAGCATAGTTCGGTTGCAAGCTTCTAAACCGCATTAGCTCCTACTACTTAGCCCAAATGTGACTTTGATCCCAACCATGGCTCTTTTTTTTGCTGAAATTTCTGCCTTATTATTTTGGAGACAATTAAGGAGGGTAAATTTGGTACAAATGGTCTTTGGGAAACCTATGACTTCAAGAGAGGTAAACCGTAGAAAAGAAGATAATGAGATCAACTCACAATAGCGATCAGCTGATCAGCCGAGGTGGAGCAGCTGATTTCTGCCAACGCATCTGATTTTTTCCATACATGAGAGCTTTTCCCGGGGTTACCACGCAGTAACAGACGCTGAGTGATTGTCTACGAAGTTCGGTCATAGTCTAAACACCAAATTCGCTCCAAGCGGGTAATCAGGGTCATTGCCAATCACGGGGTAACCGCCCGGTTGTTACTTCTTTCGCGAGAACCTGGCGCTATCTCCATAATCAGTGCTGCAGGTGGAGTGGAGTAGAGATGAACGAAAAACCCGTTTTTCTCGCAGTATAATAAATCGCCCTAATTGATGTCGACAATCGTTGGACGCAGAAGCGCAACACTGTTTCCTTCGGTGGCACTGCACCTACCAATCGACTGCAACTCATTCCCGGGGTATGAACCGGGACAGAGTTGTTTGGCACCACACCCTGTATGAAACTTATTACCATCACATCGATAACGCCGCGTTGAAAAAGTGGCGGAAAAGGAGGTTCGGGAAAGTTCTACTCGCTCGCTAGAGAAGCTTTGGCCTGGAGTAGATCGGCAAGGGCTTAGGGGACCGAAAAGTTAAAAAATGAGTGGATTTTGAGTGACTCGAAAGCGGGGGAGCAAACTGATCCATTACTACTTGCACTAGCGTTGAATCGGATCTCGAGTTGACGCTCCTTTCATGCTAACGAAACCGTCATTCCCTTTCCGGTGGCAATAAGTTTAATCGGCCTCCTACAAGCTTTCGACAATAAGTTGCATCATTCTGACCACAAACTAAAGTATGGACGCTGGAGGCACTTCCCCAATTTCGAAATTCGGCATGGAAGACGAGTGCATGGCGCATCCAGAAAGGCGCTCGATCAGAGAGAGCTGAGAGCGATGACCCCCTACAGTAACTCCTCAACTGCGCCGAATTCAGGATTCTTTGTTGTTACTGCTGCTGCGGCTGTAAATAACGCAAATTGACTTTGAATTACGCCTAAGTGAGAAAACAAAGAAAACTGTAAACTAGTAAATGGATGTTTATCAAGCCTTGAGTGTTAAAATGCCTACATTTGATTCGCATTATCAGATTAATGACCGAGATTCGATCAGCTACGTCACATCAGGTGATTGAACGCACACAGCCTAGTCACTTAGCCGCGTCACAATTTCGATGGACTAATTACTTTACGAAATTGTTTACTTCAAAAAACCCAAAACACTTGTCCGGAACGATCGTTCTTTAGTCACGAGTGATTCAGAAGGCGATACGGGCAAGGCTTTTGACATGAATTCAGATTTCAATGGGGAAGCATCGAATTCTGGGCCCAAAAGGCGGAAATGGGGAACTTCGCTCTTTCCATTCCTCATCTGCGCTTTCCCAGGAAAATGGCATGAGATTTAAGCTATTTTAAACGGCCATTGCGAAAATTGAAAAATAAATAAAAAATAAAATTTAAAATTTACTCATCCGATTTCAGTGCTCGTTTCGCGGCAAAATTCGGTTTTGTACTGTCAGTGATTGGAGCCATGTGCGCCTTGGATCGAGCACGACCCGAACATCAACTATCTCGGGGTCGCCTGTATGACATTCAACATCTGAATTTTGCTGCACCAATGGCTGGTTTGGTGAGTTTTCAATTATTTTTCAATAACTTCAAATATTGCCGAAAAATTAGGTATAAGGGAAATGGCGATCTGCCTCCGATATTAACAAGGTTTTCCTGCATTTACAGGCCGCCATCAGACAGTTCTGCTTTCTAGCACACTTGCTTCCCCTACCTGGGCCCATATTTTAGGGAACCAGGTTTTTGTGAGGGCGAATTTTTTGCGATTTAACCATCCTGGGAAACAAGGGAGAGTTCTTCAGTCCATTTTGCGTACGTTGCCCACTCACCGGCCCAGAGTGACATTGTTTTCACTCAGCGATGCGTTTTTGACACTTGCACTGGTATGTCAACCATCGCTGCCACACGGGCGTTCATCTGAGTCTAAAATATCGAATTTGATCTAACCTATTCTCGTTGAATTCGACCCCAGTCCAGACAGCTGAAAGGGCTAGGTTTCAGTTCCTCGGTGTTGTGCCCCTACAGCTATTAAGTTTTGTGAGCAACGAGCCGAAAGATTTTGTCAGAGAAATAAAAACCAAACATGTCCTCCGCTAAATCTACCGTAACCTTTACCGTCACCTCAATCTAGAAAAAATTCCTTTCAGGGAGTCGTGCTGCGAAAACGTTGCTGTGATTCGCTCCCATTGCCGATGTGCATAGCTAATCTGCTCGTCTCGTCACAGTGGTTCCTCTATGGAAACATCGTTCGTGACAACTACATCATGGTAAGTCTGCAAAATTCCGTCAAAAATTTGCGTCCCATCTTGAATTCAACTAAATATCCTGATTCAGGCACCTAACGGTATCGGAGTTGTACTGGCTGTGTTGCAACTCAGTTTGTTTTTGATTTTCCCACGACAAGAAAACGGAAAGTCAATGGTTTCTCACGTGGCCGGATTCTTCACCTCACCCGACGAGCCTTCTGACGTCGAAAAAGTCGTGGCCTCATAGAAGATCGAGCTAAAAATAGTTTTTCTTAACAATATTATTTTCAGGTGACCGCTTATCAACACAAACTGCATCTACCGGTATTTCAGTGGTGAAAGGAGAGAGTGCTCTGATGAGGAAATTCTCCGAAGTTCTCGAGTGAGTTTATCACTCGGCCACGAAGCCTTGCTAAGCGTGGCGGACGCGGGTTCTCAAAATAGTAGAGGTTAGGAAAAATCACCAGGTCTAAAGTACCTATAGGACGCTTAAATATGCGATTGCTGGCATAGACGCGCGCGGTCGCGGCACGGAAGTATTGTTTATTCACAGAATTTTCCTCCCGTTCCTGTCGCTGGATTCCATCATCCTAAATTTCCTTGTGATTGATAGCCTTCTACCGAGTTGATGACTACCGGAGACTGAGTTGTGCTTCCGCTGTTTGAGAGATTTGTGGGTGACAGGTAGTGGCGCGTGCGGTCGCGACGCAGCAAGCTAATTCCTGGCACGTTTTGACATCTATCAAATCGGCGATCGCAGTACATTTCTCGAATAACATGTTTATTAAAAATGGGAAAACGTATGGATTTGTTGCCGTAGGGAAAACACACAAGATCGCTTTTTTCAGCGCAACCGATCAATAAGCATCTTTTCCGTTATCTCGCAAAAAGAAAACCACTCAATAAGTGTTAAGGTTTTTTACATATTTAAAAATCATTTTTTCTAGAAAAACCGCACGTTCGGGAAGCTTCGGTGTTGCGGCCAGCGATTTGCGATACACACGTACGCGAACCGCCAGTGTACCGGAGATTTTTGTAAAGACGAAAAGGGTCTGATGAGGTCGACAGGCCATGGTTTTTAAGCAGTTACTTGTTTTTCTTTTGCCTGCATGGATATGATAATATATGTATTGATTATATGTGTTTTCATGCCTTGTTTGTACATATTTTTGTCGTGTTCACTTTAATGCTTTACAATAAATCATAATATTATGTGCATTGTCAGCAAAAAAAATCAATTTCCATTGTTTTGGAGAATAATCTGAGATAACTCTTTTTTCGACGGGTTATGCTCAGGCTCTTTGAAGACACCTTAGGCCCCTTCTCGGCACTTCAACGTAGTCATTCAAAGAGGGAGTATTGATTGGTTTCGCGCAAAATCAATAACTTCCAACACATGGTTTCGGATCGAATCCATGATTTTACCCGCAGTTGGATCTACCAATCCTTCCAAGTTCGGCCAGTGATATTATGCTTCAGCTGAAGGGTAAACCATTTGTACTGACTCCGCAATAACCCTGGGCGTTCAAACACTTTCAAGATTTTTAATAAGGCCATAATTGGAGTATACTGGGCGCATTCCCAATCCAACGTTACATAAATGGCCGCACCTTTGGTCAAGCGGATTGTTGATTGAACGATGTAACAACTGAAAACCACGAAAGCGGCTTTTGTAACATGAAGATATAAATCAGGGCGCTATCGTAATATACGGGGGCGTTATGGTGACAACAAAAAAAAACGTGTAAAACATTGGTGGCTTGATTTGTGAAAAATCAGGATTAAGCCCCGGGCGGGTAAGGAAGAGCTCCAGGGGGGGTGTGCAGTCGCAGCGTTCATTTCATAAATCCTGCACCCTATCAGAATTATTCCCAGGGGATGCCCTCCTATCTTGCTATTGCGCCTAAATCTTTAATCCACATGTGCCTAATTTTTATAGCTGCTGCCTTTACAGCCTTCACGAGGTAACGACTTGGTATATGAATGCTATTCTAGCTGAAAAGTGACAGCCGGTCTGTTTGGAGCTCCAGCAATCTGCGGTCAAAAATGGGCTGGCTCGATACAATTAGTGTCCCCATTGTGCCCTAACGCTTCGTGAATGAATTCAGGGGTGGATATCATTAAGGCATTCTTATCCTCCGAACTTGGGCGGATTGTACAATTAACATAAGTGCTCACTAGGTTGTCTGGCCACGGCAGGCTAACGTATAGCCTAAATAGCATTCAAATGTAACTACAGTTGTGACCAGAAAGTCTTTTACGTGGCGTATCCTCACAAGGAATTGATTGAACGTTTTACGCTTGAACGCTAGCTGCCACAGAAAAGGTTATGTGACGACTCTGACGAAATGGGAGTTCTGACGATTTTTCTTATGAAGATCTAAAGGAAATGAAAGCCTTAGGCCTGACTTTTACGGAATTTGATCCACACAGCGGTTCCGCGAGCCTGGCTTGAAATGTGCTAGGACCTTGGGGAGAAGATAGCCTCTTCTTTGTAGAATTATACCAAAAATTCGCGAAAAGTTGACGTTCGAATGAGAAAGGGCAGTGGAGGGGGTGAGGAAAGGTCCAAGTAGCAGATATGTAGCGCTTTCGCAGTAGAAAGTGTCATGTGAAGAAAGTTTAAAGTGCAAAAGATATCCAGCGGGATCCAAGCATACCGTACCCTGGGCGTGTTGCGTGGTTTTCTCTTCAGGAACGCCTTCACCTTGAAATCTTACTGATTTCAGCATACGCTTTCTCGTATAGATAATACCTTTACCCGATACCCAATACGAGGACGTATTACTGCAATGATAACATATGAAATAATTTCTAACAGTTTTATCTCGAAAAGCAAGGTGTTACAGCTTCTCGCGGAGCTCCGACAGCCGAAAACCACGAATCGGGTTTAGGTCAGCGCTGGGGGCTTGTCCCCCTGAAGCTCACGCTTTTCACCGCACATCTTGCAAATTTTCAAAAAAGGAGCACACTATTTCGATCCTAACCCGTGCCTTCAACTCGTCTAAATTTGAGAAGAGCAGGGATGAGCCACTTTTCGGGATTTTGAACCTTTTGCCTAATTTTTTTCTTCACAAACGCACCATTTGTCACCTCTTTTCCCACAATACAACAAAATTAGCGTATCGCGAGTTTTGTCGATGGTGGAAGCCCAAGATATGATAGAAGCCAATACAGGTGTAGGCGCACCCTAAAAATTTGCACATATATTGGGTTGTCCAGAAAATCCTGCGACACTTTGTCCAAGATTTTTGACTGTACCTTTTTTGTTGAATGGGATATTCAATCAGCACGGTTATCACCGGTAGCACGTAGGAGACGTGTACTTTTTCTGGGCAACTTCTCAACCCTCTTACTTTAGAAATCCGGCGTTTGCTTCGAAAAGAAGCGCTTCATCCAATTTTCGAGGTGACCTCAATCATTGGATTTTTTCTCTTCGAGGTAGCGCTTCAGTGTACTAATTACGCAATATTTAGAAACGACTAAGTCAGGCGAGTAAGCCAAGCACTGCAGAATTTCCCGATCAAAATCCACGATCTCTTCATGTGTAAT